TTCGTCTCGGCTCGTTCTCGGCTTTGGCCTCGGTTCTTTGTTCTTTGTGGGCCTCCTGGGGGGCCATCGTCGCCACGGCTGGATCCGCCTCGAAATCTTGGTCAGGGCGTACACCAGGAGGTCCTGGAAGTGTCAGTTTCGGGGTCTGTTTATTCTTCCACGTTGTGGTCGTCTTCCTCCTCCTAGGTGTCTTCTCCTCCTCGCGTCGTCGTTATCCTGCTGCTGCTGTGCAGTTCCTCCATCTCCTGCTCCTCCTCCTTCTCCTTCTCCTCCTCTTCCTCCTCCTCCTCCTCCTCCATTCCTTTTCCTTACAAGTAATTTCTCCCTGTCGCATCCCGAGGCCAGTTTTTAGGGCGGGCTGGGCGTTTCGCTTGAGACATCCTCAACATTTATGATCCGGACGGTTTAAAACTGATCACAGTTTTACGGACTGAGGGCGGGCCGTTTCCGAGATGTGGTTCTCGCCTTAGCGCCGCGCACATTTGTTTTGACACATGTGCAAGAGTTTCACACATTGAGGGCGGGTCGTTTTCACAATGTGGTTCTCGCCGCAGCGCCGCGCACATTGGTTTCAAATATTTGCAGGAATTTCACGGATTGAGGGCGGGCCGTTGTCAAAATGTGGTTCTCGCCTTAGCGCCGCGCACATTTGTTTTAACACATGTGCAAGAGTTCACAGATTGAGGGCGGGTCGTTTTCAAAATGTGGTTCTCGCCGCAGCGCCGCGCACATTCGTCTCAAATATTTGCAGGAGTTTCACGGATTGAGGGCGGGTCGTTTTCAAAATATGGCTCTCGCCTTAGCGTCGCGCAAACTCGTTTAAAATATTGCAAAAGTGTCACGGGTTCCCAGGATCAGCGAACCAAGAATAATGTTTGGGAAGGGTTCAGGATCATGAGGGTGCAACAGTTACGTTGATACGTTGTGTTGAAGTCTCAGGAACGGTGTTCTGACACGATTCAAGATCGTCAAGGCGCAACAGTCGGGCCGATCCGTGGCGTTGGAATCCCGAGAACATTGTACTGGCATGCTTCAGGCTCTTCGAACGGTTGTCTTCCAACGAGGCACTTCCCTCAGTGGGGCTGAACCGCTGTGGGGGCCTATGAAGAGGGTGGGCGCCCACTGGTCCTCCGCCTCCTCCAGCCGTGGTAGGGGGGTGGGTGGGAGCCCATGCTGTTTAGCCACGCGTGTGACGACAGCAAACACAACTGTGTCGACCATGGCGAACGCCAGGTGGGAAGTCGGCGACATCAAAGACGGGTCACCGCTTTGTTTGTGTGCCGAGGCTTCAGACTGTGTCGACACCCTCCTGAGGCGCTGCGTGCTTGCTTTGCTCCTCCTCCTCCTCCTCGTCCTCCTCATACTACTCCTCATACTACTCCTCCTCCTCCTCCTCGTCGTCCTCCTCATACTACTCCTCCTCCTCCTCCTCCTCCTCCTCCTCCTCCTCCTCCTCCTCCTGGAGCCCTCCTCCTACTCCTCATACTGCTCCTCCTCCTCCTCCTCCTCCTGGAGCCCTCCTCCCGGTTCCCTCCTCCTGGCCCCCCCGGGGTCGACGAGCTGGCGTCGAGCACTCTCTTGGCTCCCCTCCCCTCCTGGACCTCCCGAGGCCTCGGGGGGGGGGGGGCGGGTCTCCCTGGGGCCCTGGGGAGGCCTCCGGCCCCCCCCCTCTCGGGGGCGGCAGAGAGGGGGGCGATGACTAGGGGGGGATATCATGGCGGGGGCCATGATATTTCCCAGATTTCATGGCGCCTCTTCTTGTTTCATTACGTCCCTGGCCCCCCCCCCCCTGGGCCGCGCACATGCCGCCGGCCATGATTTGCACGCCACCCTCTCGGACGCCCCCCTCTTGGCCGCTCCCGACCCTCCCTCCCTCCCTGTCCTCGCTCCCCCGGGGTGCAGGGGGAGGTGTGGTGATGCTGCTGCTGCTGCAGATGAGGACGAGAAGGAGAAAGGCGGAGAAGGACGAGGAGGAGGAGGAGGAGGAGGAGGAGGAGGAGGAGGAGGAGGAGGAGTGGGATGAGCAGCAGGGGAAGGGGGAGTCAGAGCAGAGCAGGATTGGAGGAGGAGGACGATAAAGGGGAGGAGGAGGAGGAGGTGGAGGAGGAGGAGGAGGAGGAGGACGAGGAGGCGGAGGAGGAGAACGAGGATAGACGCGGGAGCGGAGGAGGACGCGAAGGAATAGGAGGAGGACGAGGGGGAGAATGAGGAGGTGGCAGAGGAGGATGAGCAGGAATAGATCTTAACGAGATGACATACGGATGCTTAGATGGATGGTTGTGTTGGTGATGATCGTGGTGGTGATGGTGGTGGTGATGATCACCGGACTCCGTGGAGCGGCCAGCGGCCTGTGTCGCACGCGGAGCCCTCGGCCGCAGACGTGTGCCAGGGCAGGCTCCAGCGCGAGGCGACGAGGAGCCAGCCGTGGCGACGGGGAGGGCATCCCGAGCGGGGGGTCTCCAAGGCCCATCGCAGGGGGGGATCCTCGACAGCCTGCCTCGCGGTCGCGCCCCTCGGCGACCAGCTGCACGGCCCTCGGGCGGCGGCAAGAGAGACCGCCTCTCCCTGGCGTCCGCGCGTCTCGCTCGCACCGCGACCCGTGCAAAGCACTTCAACACTGCCTCAGCGCGCGAAGGGAAGTTGGTGGAGGGCGGCCTGGAATGGGTTTTCGAGGAGCAGACTTGGGACTCCCATCCCGATGTTGTTCTGTTCATGGTTTTTGTTCCACATCTGTCGGCAACCTGCCCGCCGCATCGAAGCGGAACGAAGAGGACGAGGAGGAAGAGAAGGAGAAGGCGGTCCAAGGAGGACGAGGAGCGGCAGCGCAGGATGAGGAGAAGGAGGAGGAGGTGGAGATCAGAGGGGGAAGAGGATGAGGATGAGGAGGAGAGCAGTACAGTGGGGGCGCGCACCAAGAAGCCATCTGCTTTTCGCCAGGGTATCCTGGGTTTCTTCGCTCCTCGCGCTGCGCGGTGACCTCCCGCAGCAGTTGAATTGAGCTGCTGCGTTCAGGGTGCTCCAGGTTTCCCCTCAGGTGCACCTCGCGCACGGATTCTCAGGGTTGGGTTTCTTGCGAGGGTTTCTTGCGGCCGCGCCCGCACTATATGATCGCGGGTTTCCTGGCCAACTTCACCATGGATGTTGGGCGCACTTAGCGCAAGCCTGCAGTGCCAGGGTTGCGCCAGCGCGCGGCCAACGATGTCTACCATTCGGACGGCGGAGGTCGACATGCCCGCTGTCCCGCGGCCGCCTGGGTAGAGGAAGCCGTCGTCGCACAAGGCTGCCGTCGCCGCACGTTTCCCATCGCATTGCGATGCACATCTTTCGAAAGCCCGATCTCGTCGTTTACCGCTGAAGCGGTCGCCTTGGGGGACGCCACCTCTTCTGTTTCACGCTCTGCTCGTAAAGGTAACCATGATGGCAGGCGGTCGCGCTTCTGGCCGTCGGGTCTCCCACTCTGAAGTTGCATGCCTGTCACCACGGTGACCGAGCGTGTCGAACAGACATACATACGCAACTAACGCAGGTGGGCATGACGATGAGGGTTGTGATACTGACGATGATGATGCTGCGGATCTGCTGATGATGCTCTTTCTGTTGTTGACGGGGATGCTGATGCTGCTGCTGATGATGATGGTGATGAGACTGATGATGATGATGATGATGATGATGATGACGATGATGATGATGATGATGATGATGATGATGATGCCTGCGGATGACGGTGCTGCTGATGCTGATGCTGATGATGCTACTCATGTTGGTGACCCTAATGATGCTGATGATGATGGTTGGCATGATGATGATGATGATGATGATGATGATGATGAAGAGGATGAAGAGGATGTGAATGTTGATGTTGATGCTGCGCTGGTGGTGGTGATGATGACGATTGTGGGGATGCTCAGACTGCTCATGATGATACTGACGCTTCCGATGACGAGGATCACGATGCGTGGTAATGATAATGACGGTAATGGTCATGATTAGGACGGTGCGGTTGATGATATTTATGATGATGAGGTTGGTGATGATGACGATTCGGATGACAATGTTGATGATGATGATGACGACGAGGATCTTGCTGATGCTACGGGTGATGAGGATGATGCGGACGACGACAACGATGCTGATGATGTGGTTGATGATGATGATGCTGCTGGTGATCCGGGTGGTGGTTATGATGATGATGATGATGATGATGATGATGATGATGATGATGATGATCCTGATGCTGATGATGCTGATACTGCTGGTGATAAGGGTGATTCGAATGACGATGCCGATGGTGATGCTGCTGACGATTCTGATGATGGTGTTTATGATAATGACGATGATGCTATGAAGTCTACCTTGCTGATGTCGTCGATGCTGCTGCTCCTGTTGACGACGACGACGACGACCACGACCACGACCGCGACGCCCCCGCCGCCAACGACGATGACGATGATTATGCCGATGATGATGGCGATGCTGATGATGATGATGTTGATGCTGATGCTGGTGATGATGAGATGATGACGATGGTGACGATGGTGATGCTGATGCTGATGATGCTGATGATGCTGATACTGATGAAGGTGATGATGATGCTGCTGATGCTGAGGATGATCATGATGATGATGATGATGATGATGATGATGATGATGATGACGATGATGATGATGATTATGATGATGATTATTATGATGATGGTGATGATGATACTGATGATGAATAGTATGCTGATGATGCTGATGCCGATGCTGATGCCGATGCTGATGTTGATGCTGCTGATGATGCTGATGATGACGATGCTGCTGATGATGCTGATGTTGATGAGGATGAGGGTGAGGATGAGGATAATGATAGCGGCTGTGCCATGGTAATGCAGGTTATGGTGATCATGATAATGACGATGTGTTGGAGGAGGGGTGATGTCCAAGGAAAGGGATGATGAGGACGGGTGATTGGATGAACGGATGGCGTGGCTAGATGAAGCTTGGCCCCGTGCGTACCAGGTGCCGCCGCTGCAGGGGCAGCAGCTACACAGCCAGGGCCGCTTCGCGAACGCCCAAGACCCCAGGGAGGGCAGGGGAGGAGGGGGTTGGGCCAGGGAGGGGGAGGAGGGGGATGGCGGATTGTAGCAGGGGGAGGCGGGATGGGGGGGGAGAGGGCGAAGGAGGAGTAGGAGTAGGAGGAGGATGTGGAGGGGTGGATGGTCGGCGCAGATTAGCGACGGCAGGCCACGGTGTGACAGAGCCGCCTGCACGCCAGTATAGCTACACTATGGCGGCACCCTCAGCCTCCCGCGTGGCGGCCCACTCACCCGCGCCGCGCCAGCCACTCTTCCCATTCTGCCTCGGTGAGAGGGGTTGGGACCCCCACCTGAGGACCGTCGGCGTGAGCCTTCGGCGCCCTGCCCGCGCGCAGGTTCGCAAGGTGCCACGGCTGCTTGGGGCAGCCATGGCAACCGCCGCGGAGGCCTGCCAGGCGGCGCTGGGCGTGCTGGCCGCACCGCTGGCACCATACCCACGTCGACGTCTTCCACAGTCGGTGGCCGTTCGAGAAGGCGCCAGCCGTCGCGAACACCATGGGGAGTTTGGCGGCGACGTGCCCTCTGCAGCATTCGTCCGGCAGCACCTGCAACGGTGCGCGGCGGTGGCATCTCACGCTTTCCCACCGACCAACCGGCCGACGCTGAACGTCGTGGGCCTGAGCTGGGTGTGGCACGAGCTGGACTGGGTCTGGCGCCGTGGCGAGACTTCGGCAATTCCGGCACATCAGGCCACCGGGAGTTTTCGTCCAAGACCCGCGTGGTGATCTCTGTCTGGGAATTCAACACGTAGTGGATCTTCTCCGCCGCTGCAATGCAGGCTTTGTCGATGTACTGCAGCACGACACTGGTGCCGCATTCAGCTCCGCGGCCCGTTCGTTCGTCCGCCGCTTTGTTGGCCTGGGCGACGCGCCGTTGCTCGGAATCCAGCGACTCCATCACGGCCGCGGAGCGATGGATCTTCACTTTGCGGAACTGCACGCCGTTGGGGCCCAGCCCGATGTCCCGCAGCCTTGCCCATACCTGTCGCCACAAGTCTGTATTCGGGCGGCGTGAGGCGGTGCACCACCGCTCACCAGCGGCCACTCCATCAATGACGGACTGCCTGCCGACATGCAGGACCAGCGGCGGGAGGGCGTGCGCCAGGGCGCGCTCGATGGCCTGCAGCTCGGCGCGGTCAATGTTCCGTTCACGGGCAGGCTTTGAGGCAGCGGCCCCCAAACAGCCACCTGAACGACGGCGCCCTCGGGATCCATCATCACGGCTGCCCAGCCCCCTCGGCCGAACCACTTCCAGCGCCCCTTCAAGCTGCCATCGGTGCCGACGTCCCCCGTGGGGTAGCAGTCTTCCCCTTCCCAATGCTCATCGAGGAACTGGGCCTCGCAGGGTCGACGAAGACCTTGATGGGGGAGCAGCGCCCGGTCCCACGGCCAACGGTCGTTGCTGGTGGCCCTCGCGTGCTGCCAACGAGGCGGGAGCGCCTCCCGATGGTGCCGCAAACCGGGGCAGCAGGCCCAGCGGTGCTTCGGCGTGCCAGCAACCTCGCCCCCGTCAGCTAACACACCGCTGGCGCCACGGCAGCGTCGCGCCTCTTGCCTGCCATAGGCCCTGCTCTGCCTCCACGCCCTAGGGCAGAAGCGCTCCGGGCAGCAGCAGACGCACCCGCGCAGCAACGGCGCCGCCAACGCCTGAGCCACCTCTGGAGCGCCGCGCGACCACTGTCCTCGGCGACCCACGCCTTGCACTGCCGCAGCTCCGCGCCGCGCTCCGCCATGGCCTGGACCTCCCGGGGGCACATCACTCCCACGTCGCTGGATTTGGGCCTCGTTTAATAGAGTTGCACCATTTGGCAAATTTGATCGATGCATCCATTAGGCCAACCTCTTTCGGTCACTGTTTCAAGGGCCCGAGGAATAATCGTCAACCTAGCACAGCGTCATTCCCTGCTGACAAAGGTGCGCCAGGACGGCCACGTCCGCCCCAGGCGACGAGCAGCCAGCAGGCACGAGGAGGCCCAGCGGAGCGGGCAGTGGCGCGGAACCTTTTGCGGTACCTCGCGCCTCCCTGGGGGCGTTGAGGGCTGCGCGGGCTCCTGGGAGGTCCAGCGGCGCGGGAGGTCACGCAGATCCTGGCGACACCTCGCGCCTCCCTGGGGCGCTGAGAATTGCGCAGCTGTCGCCGCCTCCGTGGGCTCCTGGGAGGTCCAGCGGAGTGGGTAGTCACAAGCATCCGTGTGGGACCTCGCGGCTCCCCTGTGGGGGGGGGGGGGCTTCGATTTTCGCGATTGACGCCGCTTCGGTGTGCTCCTGGGAGGTCCAGCGGTGCGGGTAGTTCCGCAGATCCCTGCGGGACCTCGCGCCTCCCTTTTGCATCGCATGTTGCGCAATCGTCGCCACCTTCGTAGGCTCCTGGGAGGTCCAGCAGAGTGGGTAGTCACACAGATCTTTGCGGGACCTCCCGGCTCCTTGGGTGGAGTGGGGCTGCGATGTTCGCAATTGTCGCCACTTCCTTGAGCTCTTGGTAGGTCCAGCGGAGTGGGTAGTCGCAAAGACCCTTGCGGGACCTCGCGGCTCCATGAGGGGGGGGAGGAGGGGGCGGGGGGGCTGCGAATTTCTCAATTGTCGCCGCCTCCGTGGGCTCCTGGGAGGTCTAGCGGAGTGGGAAGTCACGCATGTCCTTTCGGGACCTCGCGCCTCCTGGGGGCGTTGCAATTTGCGCATTTGTCGACATTTCCGTGGGTTCCTGGGAGGTCCAGCGGCGTGGGAAGTCATGTTGATGCCTGCGGGACCTCGTGGCTCCCTAGGGCGCTGCAAATTGCGCAACTGCCGCCACCTCCGCGGGCTTCTTGGAGGTCAACGGATTGGGCAGTAGTCACGTGGATGCCTGCGGGACCTCACGCTTCGTTGGGGTGTTGCGAAATGGGCAATTGTCACTACTTAGTTTCGTGGGCTCATGGGAGGTCCAGCGGAGTGGGTAGTAGTCACGCGGATTTTTCATTGGGGGACTTTCACTTCGCGCGCGGCGCCATTGAATCACAGGCCGCAGAGCGCTGGAGCGAGTCGTGGCGCGTGGCGACGTCCTTGGCGGCCGATTTCGCAGTTGTGCTTACCGCCCGCAGCAACAGCATGGACGAACCGGGCAGATGTAGCGGATGGCGCTGCTACTCTTACCAGTATGTCTTCCTTTTCGTTCTCCATTTTGATCGTCTTCCTTCCCCCTCCACATCCTCCTCCTCCTCCTACACTTCTGCCTCCCGTTTAGATTCCTTGTCGTGCTTGCCAGCGCCGCCCCTTTTGCGATGTGAGCCGTTCAGGTGCGCGACGCGCGTTGCCCAAAGTCGTTTGGCGGAACAGTTCAGAATGCTGCATATATCGCAAGGTGTTCTTGTGTAAGTATGGTTATTTTATTTTCGCTGTCGCCTGCGTAAGTGTTATTCGGCGGCGAGCCCGATGGGAAAGTGAGAAAGGGCGGGCCTTCTCAGAAGGCGCGGAAGGCCCTGATCTTCTAAAAAGTTGTCCGAGTCTTCCATGAAGACAGAGAAAACCTCTCAGAAGGCCGGGGGGCTTCTGAGAAGCCCCGCCGCCTTCTGAGAGGGCCTTCTTCTTCTCACTTCCTCCCCTCCCTCGCAGCCGAGAAGGATTCTGGGAACTTCTCATGGAATTGTTTCGCCAGCGCGGTTCGTATCACATCTCGTGTGGGGGGGGTGAGGGCGGCGATTGCCGCCACGGCGGCGTCAGCCTCGGCGACGGCGGCGACAGCGAGAGCGGTGACGCCGACGACAATGGCGGCGACGGCGACGATGACGGTGGCGACAATGGCGACGGCGACGTTGCACACTGATCTCGGCGGCGAACGAGGGGGTAGGTTAGAAGGAAAATGCCCTCTCAGAAGGCAGCGGGGCTTCTCAGACCCCCCCCGCGCCTTCTGCGAGTTTCTTGGGCGTTTTCGGGGAAGGTTTAGAACACCTTTCGGAAGGCTTGGGGACTTCCGACCCTTCTGAGAAGGCTCCCCGTCGGGCTCGCAGTCGAGGCACGCTCTTGCTCGGTAGACTTGTTTCTGTTGCGTCGGCGGCTGGGCAGGGATAGTCTGCACGGGCGGAAGTAGCTAACTAAACGGGGGCACCGTTGTGGCGAAGTGGCCAGCATGCAAGCGCGGGGAAGCGGGACAGAGCGGGCGGCCGCAGAAGGGGGGGCAGGGCGAGGGTCTCGGGGGGGAGGGATCATTTCCCTGGGTGAGCTGGCGCGGCCAGCCCCGCCGGCGGGGACTGAAGCGGCTGCTGCGCCGGGGCACCTGCCGAGGCGGGGCCCAGTCCCAGACCCCCTCGAGTTATGAAAAAATCGCGACGGGAGGTTTTTCATTATTTTTGGCCTTTGGGGGCCCTTACCGGCCCTCGGGACCGTCAAAAAACGACTCAGGACGAAAAACTGGTCCCGGGGAATGGGTCGAGACCTCGGGGGGTCGACATCATGAAAAAATCATGACGTCGGGGGTCTGGGGTGGGGGTACCGCAAGTCAAAACGATGCAGCGAGCAGCCTACGTGGAGCACGAGGTGCAAGGCCGGCGGGCCGCGCGCCGCCCAGGTGGGGGCGCAGGGCAAGGTGCGGCAAGTGGAACTGCATCCTGGTCGGAGGGCATCCAGCAAAATGCTGGGCCAGCGTGGGGGAACAGGCGGCAAGATCAGGCCCGCGATCCCGCGCGCGAGGCGGCTGCAGGCATCAGGCGCCACCGCGGCGCGCGGAGTGGGGGAGAGCGGGCAGGGGGGGGGGGAAAGGGGAAATAGGGAGGAGGAACGCCCCGCCTGCAGGAAGCCCCGCACCGCAGGCGGGGCGGCAACGCCGAGGCCGCGCCGGCGGCAGGGCAGCAGGCTGCGTGCCGCACGCTCACGCTGGGCGGTGTGGCTGGGGTTTTGGACAGCAGCCGGAGCTCTGCGGCAAGTTAACACTGTGGCAAGGGCCAGCGGCCCCCACTGCCGGGGTGGACAGGGTGGGCCAGGTC